CTAGCTTGGATTTAAAACCAGATTACACAAAATTTGTTCTGTTACTTTTTTCTTTCTAATTTCTTTCCGGATAATATGTTATTGAACGATTTGAGGCATTAAACTTGGTTTGAGTAAATAAAACCTTACCACGTCGATACTTAGTCGGCAATTAATCTTTGATCTAATCTTAAACTTTAACTGTGTTTGTATTTGTGTATCCTATAATTAAACGATCCTAACATTGAAATCCAATATAATCCATGCTTCTAAACAAAAACCTGAATCGCATGAATGTTATTCCTGCATGCTTATAAGGAGAGCGGACCATCATTATTCTATGATTTATTCATATAATATAAACAATGGGATAAATTATCTCTTTTCACCCATAAAAATATGAGAAATGGGTTTTATTCAGACAGAACACATTAAGGTCTCTAATTTCTGCACTCCCTCAACCCTTTTCCCACGCGTTTCATGCATGGAGCAATTTTCCTCCCTAGTTCCATGTCCAAAAAAATTAATCCAAAACTATACAAACCATAAAAAAGACTCTGAAAACATGGTAGGATAACAGCATTGCTGCATCACCAGCCACTTTTTCTTTCAAAATTTAAGAAAAATAAGAATTTGGAAAAATCCAGAATTTCATCAACTATACCTCTACTTCTTTTGTCACACTATTTCTTTTAAAGGAAATATTGAGCATTATTTGCATAGATATTTTTTTCTCTGATCGAAATCAGATGAATCCTTCTTTTCCAGGATACTTATACAATTCATGGCTTCGTGCTTAATCACACAATCTTACGTATTTCCTTTTTCTTAAAAGGACAGCATTTGGCTTTGTCTCATGGGAAAGCTGTGATTTTGCATTTATATTAAAAAGTTTTTATTCTGTGTAATAAAGGGCGATTCTGAATTAAGGTATTTAGTAAGTCTAATAACGTGTTCGATTACAGTGGCTAACGTAATGATGACGTCAAAAGCTTTCATCTGTGGGCTTGAGGTCATTACTGGAAGTGAGTAGCGTTCGCGATGGTACCGGTAAACAAGTGTAGCCCGCCATGTCTTTAACCAATCGATGTACATTGATTTTGTCTGTCTGGCTTTAATTCTTCTGTGTGGCTAATTAGAACGAACAGGAACAAACTATGAATATATCGAATTTGTTCCATCTTTGACGAGCATTTTTATTTGTTTTGCATGTAAACATTAAATAAGTCAATACGATCTTTTTGACTTTGCACTCAGGTTAAAATGATTGTCTATATTCAGTTTGAATCTAATAATAAATTCTGTTTTTATTAGCTCACCTGAGCCGAAGGCTCAAGTGAGCTTTTCTGATCACATTTTGTCCGCGTTCCGTCTGTCTGTCCGTCTGTCTGTCTGTCTGTCCGTAAACTTTTCACATTTTCGACTTCTTCTCAAGAACCGCTGGGCCATTTTCAACCAAACTTGCCACAAAGCATCCTTGGGTAAAGGGGATTCAAATTTATCAAATGAAGGGCCACGCCCTTTTCCATGGGGAGATAATTACGAATTAGAGAAAAATTAATGGCATTTTTAAAAAATCTTCTTCTCAAGAACCACTGGGCCAGGAAAGATGAAACTCATGTGGAATCATCCTCAGGTAGTGTAGATTTAAGTTTATTCAAATCATGACCCCCAGGCTAGGGTGGGGCCAAAATGGCCGACCAAAGTTTTACATATGAATATAAAGGAAAAATCTTTAAAAATCTTCTTCTCAAGAACCACTGGGCCAGGGAAGATGAAACTCATGTGGAATCATCCTCAGGTAGTGTAGATTCAAGTTTGTTCAAATCATGACCCCCAGGGCTAGGGTGGGGCCAAAATGGCCGACCCAAGTTTTACATAGGAATATATAGGAAAAATCTTTTAAAATCTTCTTCTCAAGAACCACTGGGCCAGGAAAGATGAAACTCATGTGGAATCATCCTCAGGTAGTGTAGATTCAAGTTTGTTCAAATCATGACCCCCTGGGCTAGGATGGGGCCAAAATGGCCGACCCAAGTTTTACATAGGAATATAAAGAAAATTTTTTAAAAAATCTTCTTCTCAAGAACCACTGGGCCAGGGAAGATGAAACTCACGTGGAATCATCCTCAGGTAGTGTAGATTCAAGTTTGTTCAAATCATGACCCCCAGGGCTAGGGTGGGGCCAAAATGGCCGACCCAAGTTTTACATAGGAATATATAGGAAAAATCTTTAAAAATCTTCTTCTCAAGAACCACTGGGCCAGGAAAGATGAAACTCACGTGGAATCATCCTCAGGTAGTGTAGATTCAAGTTAGTTCAAATCATGACCCCTGTGGCTAGGGTGAGGCCAAAATGGCCGACCCAAGTTTTACATAGGAATATATAGGAAAAATCTATTAAAATCTTCTTCTCAAGAACCACTGGGCCAGAAAAGATGAAACTCATGTGGAATCATCCTCAGGTAGTGTAGATTCAAATTTGTTCAAATCCCCCGGGGCTAGGGTGGGGCCAAAATGGCCGACCAAAGTTTTACATAGAAATAGTTAGGAAAAATCTTTAAAAATCTTCTTCTCAAGAACCACTGGGCCAGGAAAGATGAAACTCATGTGGAATCATCCTCAGGTAGTGTAGATTCAAAAGGGTGGGGCCAAAATGGCTGACCAAAGTTTTACATAGGAATATATAGGAAAAATCTTTAAAAATCTTCTTCTCAAGAACCACTGGGCCAGGAAAGATGAAACTCACGTGGAATCATCCTCAGGTACTGTAGATTCAAGTTTGTTCAAATCATGACCCCCGGGGCTAGGGTGGGGCCAAAATAGCCGACCCAAGTTTTACATAGGAATATATAGGAAAAATCTTTAAAAATCTTCTTCTCAAGAACCACTGGGCCAGGAAAGATGAAACTCATGTGGAATCATCCTCAGGTCGTGTAGATTCAAATTTGTTCAAATCATGACCCCCTGGGCTAGGGTGGGGCCAAAATGGCCGACCAAAGTTTTACATAGAAATATAAAGGAAAAATCTTTAAAAATCTTCTTCTCAAGAACCACTGGGCCAGGAAAGATGAAACTCATGTGGAATCATCCTCAGGTAGTGTAAATTCAAGTTAGTTCAAATCATGACCCCTGGGGCTAGGGTGGGGCCAAAATGGCTGACCCAAGTTTTACATAGGGATTTGTAGGGAAACCTTTTAAAATCATCTTTTCAAGTACTTCAAAGCTATGATTAGTGTCATAAAATATTAATATGGAATCATCTTCAGGTAGTGTAGATTCTAGTTTTTTCAAATCATGAAAGCCCCCCCCGTAAACTTTCAGTTCTGATCTGATATGTGCTTTTTCCTAGCCAATGTGCTCAGGTGAGCGTTGTGGCCCCTGGGCCTCTTGTTTATTTTAAACAACTAAGCAAACAAATGCTGCTAAAATCGACAAGCTGAACTCTTGGTGTATAAACTTGCACTCTTGGTGTATAAACTTGCCGACACATATACAAAAGCTTGAATTAAGAGATATTTCAAAGATTTTTATTTAGTTATTTCATGGAAAGAGACGCGTAGTCTTAATAATTAAAGCATTAACGTAAAATATAAGTTTACGTCAGCAATCAAAACTAATCTTAAACTTGATTAAAATTCAGTAAATAAACGACAATTTAGAACAGTAATCTTGAGGAATGCTTTTAGATGTGTGGTTCGCAATTTCGTTCAAATGACAGACGGACGACAACATATCTTCTGCTTCTTTGAATTCCAAGGAACGATTTAGAAATGAAGAGGCGCATTTGTCTTTCGTGAGAGCCGGGGAATGGGATGGTCAGGTCTAAAATGTCATCGTTAATGACGGCCCAAACAAAAGATTGTACTCCTAAGCTCCCTATTGGAGACGTGACGTTCATCAACATGCCAAAATCTCACGCATTACTGAGCGAACACTCACGGGCCACGCAACACAATGAGTACTGGATCGAAAGAACAAATAAATTCTATGAAGATAACAATCACGTCTAATTCCCAACAAATGATTTTGACCCACCAGTATAACCCGGGCTCGAGATTCCGCTGAACTTTGTGTCGTACATCGATATCCCGTGTTGTATAATTCATGTCCCCGTCCCTCTCTTAATTATACGTCTCTAAGAAAATCAATGCCCAACCAAAAACCTGCGCTATTTTCCTATTTTATGTCGGATGTTGTGTTTTTCTAATAGGTCCCAGCGATAAAGATCTATAGTTGATTTTGTCTTCGTAGTCTAGGACTTGGATGAAACGAGGAAATGTAATAAAATTGGGTTTGACATAGGAAGAACAGACTCATTTAATCCCCGCCAAAGAAAATAAGCCACTCACCCTAACCAGATTTACCCTACCGAAGATGATTGTTAGGGGAAAAAATCATCATAAATATATTCGAATAAATGAATTATATTGATTCAATAATTTCTAAAAAAAAAATATTTATAACGTCACCTAAACTATTTTTTTTTTTTTTTGTAAAATACAACATTCACAAATATTTTTTTCTGATGTTATTTTTAATTTTACGTCTTTTTTAAAATAGTCATGTTGCTGAATATATTTGATAAATTTGTTAGAAAGGACAAAACAATTTTTCATGAAACAAATCTTAAAAATTCTTTTTGGGAACAGACTGATTATTTATCATATTGAGAACAGACTGATTATTTATAAATCATATTGATATGGAAGAATTCTAAGGTAGTGCAGATTCAAGTTTGCTTAGACTATGTTGTTTACTTTTATGAATGTAAAACAATATGGTGTACCAAATAGAATCTGAAGTGTTTTACTAGCAGTGCCCCCCCCCCCCCCCTTTCAGCTAGAACAACCATCTTGAAAAGTATCACCAACCCTCAGTACCCAGAGTAGATGTAACGAAGTATCAACTGAAGCACATCACAGATATCAATAAAACACAGTCTGTTATTCAGACATAGTGATTATTGCTTTGTAGTTTAAAGATAAAATTAAAGTATACATTAAAAGCTGATCAAGAAATCTGTAAAAAGCTTTTATTTTTAATTCATTGAATTAAAACACAACATTTTATATACAAAATTCATTCTGATGACAATTATTTATACTAAATTGCTTTACAAATACACATCAAATAATTTCAAAGTATTTATGTACAATACATTCCATGCAAAATGAAAAAAAAAACATTGATATTGAACAGCCTGAACAGACAGGTTTGTCATGATTCCTCAATTTAGAATCGTTTACCGCACACAGAAAACAGTCAATAAAGATGTACCTCCCTCACTTGTAGTGAAAAAAGTACCATTCTCTGTGGATCTATAAATAGGTCAGTGGTCAGACGTCCTGCTCCGAGGTTCCCTCAGGGTGTGTGTGGGGGGTGGGGGGTCCATCAGCTGAATTCTGTGTCTGACCAGGCACTCTCTACATCACTCCCCTCAAACTCCTCCTAAAACAAAATGTGTGTGATAGAGTCCAAGACAAACCAAAACAAGACACAATACAGAACTATACAGTCCATGAGAAACCAAAACAGTAAACAATACAGGTCTATACCCTAAGTACAAAGACCATTTTTGCTGTGGGAAATTTTCACGCATCATACAATTCCACTAAAGATGTTTGAAATCTGTCCAGATTTATGCAGTTTTGTTAAAAGAGAAATAACTCTCTCACTTGAATCCATCTGATTTAGTATTAATCTACAAGTAAATGCAAAAGGAACATGGGCTTGTCTGATTCACATTTGCTGTATTTTCCTCCAATAATATTCCAATGAAAAATTTTGACCCCATGGGGTTAACAATGCTTCCTGGGGTTATAATGTAACCTAACTTGAATGCACATTATAACAGGTGTTTGAGGATGACTATCAAATCAAAATTCCAGTAGTATTTTTTAGTACATACATGTATCAAAGTATTTTTTAATTCAGACAGATGTTGTAAATGTCACACTGATTGTGTACCCATTCATTTGAATGTCATCTTTTCCTGATTCCTAATAAATTTTCCTCTTTTTAAGGGATGACATTGACCTTTGACCTATTTCTTCATCCCTGTATGACCTTTGACCTACCTCTTCATCACTGTAAGACCTTTGACCTACCTCTTCATCACTGATGATCTTTGACCCACCTCTTCATCGCTGTATGACCCCTCTTCATCATATGACCTTTGACCTCACTCTTCATCACTGAATGACCTTTGACCTACCTCTTCATCGCTGTATGACCTTTGACCTACCTCTTCATCACTGTTCTCCATGTCCTCCACCCCGACATCGTAAGCACTCTCCAGCCCCATGTCATTCTGCTTCTCCACCCTCTCCATCCCCTCCCTCACACGCACATTAGACGGGTCCAAGCTAAAAATAGAAACACGCACGTTAGAGGGGTCCAAGCTAAAAATAGAAAGATAAACATTAGACGGATCCAAGCTAAAAATAGAAAGATAAACATTAGACGGATCCAAGCTAAAAATAGAAACTAAAAATAGAAAGATAAACATTAGACGGGTCCAAGCTAAAAATAGAAACACAGATGTTAGATGAGTCCAAGCTAAAAAAAGAAACATGCACCTTAGATTGGTCCAAGCTAAATATAGTAACACAGATGTTAGACGGGTCCAAAAAAAGACACAAAGACATCAGATGGGTCTAAGCTAAAAATAGTAACAGAAACATAAGACAAGTCAAAAGAAACTAAGCAGGTCCTCACCTCAGTGCTATACTAAACTGGTCGAGAGCTTCTTGGTGTTCATGGGTCTGAGTAAGGAACTCTGCTAACATCTGGTGAAGTCTACAGGTACTGTGTGTCTCCAGTTGTTTCCGTAATCTGAAGCAAAGTTTTCAAGCATTTTATGACTAACATTTTGCTATAATTATATACCTGGTATATCAACCCATGCACAGGAATCTTTTTAATTTGCATCTCTACTGTACATCTATTGCATGTACTAGATCAAATTTGATCTTCATTGTCTATAATGTCCAGTCTAGTAATATTACCTGGTTCTCATAAATCTATATCCTCTATAATATCAGTAACATTGCCCCCTTTATAACTTTTCTATAATTCCTCTTTTTTTCTGTACTTATATTTCTATCCATTGTCAAACCAATAACATTTCCCTTATTTACATCTCTATATCATCCATCATACTAGTTACATTCCCCATACACCATGTAGATATACCGTAAATCTGGAAATTTTTACGTCGATTCTATTTTGCGAATTCGGGTCAAAATGCTGTTGATTAATTTTTACGTTTCAAAATTTTGCAAATGACCATTGTTTTGGTTATATTTTCTTATTGGTGATTTATTTTTAAGAGAAATATTTTTGCGAATGCAATGCACTCACGAATTTGCTAAAAATTTATCTACAGCAAAAATTTCCAGATTTACGGTATATCTCTATATCCCCTATCATTTCAGTACCATTTCTCTTACTTAATCTTTATCTCCTGTTATATTCAGTATCATTCCCCATACTTACATCTCTATTCCTTTATCATACTGCTGTTCCTGACCTAGAATTTCCACCATTATATACACAGCCTCTAGGAATGAAGGATCTAACTTCATAGCTTTCTCTAGATATGGTTTAGCCTGAAATAGTATGTACAGTGAAATGGAAAAACTAAATGATATTCTATAAATTGGAAGTTTGAAGATCAGTCAAATCCAATATTTTGAAAAAAACACACCAAACTTTTAAATAATTGACCATTAAAAAATTTGTTTTGATTGATTAACAAGTCAAAAATTTCTAGATTAATAATAGGAAAACACTGTAATGACAATTATTTGACGTGATGTTGCTGAAGAATTATTTCCCTTTGTTTTCACAGTTTACCATGATGATGTGCGTTTCTCCAGAATTGGTAGTTACTTATACCTTTTAAGTTAAAGTTGGACATACTTACCTTTGCTGTAACAGTTGGTGTCTTGGCAAGAACTGAGGCATACAGCTGTAACAAAACATAATAAAACATAAAAAGAAAATTTATTAAAGAAACGTTTTTAATTTTATTTATATTTTGGGGTTTAAACAACCTTTATGAAACTGAGTAACAGATCCCTGCTCGAGAAGTTCTACCCTGAGTTTGCATGATCCTTCTACCAACAACTCACCGTTAGAGTCCTAGCTGTGGTACCCAGAGTTTTGATCGCCTTCCCAGCCCAGGTCAGAGCTTCTCTGTGTCTGTAGAGAGCCATGTAACACTGTATCAAACCTGGAAGTCAGACAGGAATAAAACCATATAGCATGATACTGTACTTAACAAAACACTGAATAGCTTACACAATTTTTTTTCTATACAGTATTGTGATCAACAACTTACGATGACTATTCTAAACACTCACCAATGCAAGGACAAAATGAAAGATTGAAACTAAGAAGTTTCTTTTCTGTGTGGATCTAGTCTCAATATATCCTTCATTCAATTTGGTGGAGAGGCATTATCCACTGTCTTACCTATGTAAGCCTGATATCTATGTGGTGCTAGTCTCAGAGCTTCCTTCATGTGTCGGGTGGTACCTTACCTGTGTAAGCCTTGTATCTATGTGGTGCCAGTCTCAGGGCTTCCTTTGTGTGTGTGTGGGGGGGGGGGGACCTTACCTGTGTAAGCCTCGTATCTATGTGGTGCTAGTCTCAGAGCTTCCTTCATGTGTGGGGTGGCATCATCCACTTTCTTCAGTTCCAATAAAGCTGTACCTTTCAGCAGGAAGGCCTCAATGTTGTACGGATCTAGTGTGTTTGCCTGGAAGAGTAACAATACAACTGACAAATGAAACTGTAGCTCTACTTATTTTTGAAATGATATAGTACCCTTCAACAATAACTCGATCTTTAAATTTTTTTTTAAATTAAGAATGTGTTTTTAAAAGAAATAATTACAATAAAATAATTATAGAAAATGTCTTTATAACTTTCATTTTCCTTGAAAAGTTTTAATGAAAATTTACAATTTGTAGAAAATTGATAAATAGATTTTATATCAACAATGATGTAGAATTTGAGTATGATTCACTATTATTTCAAAGATTCATTATACAGAAACTAAGTATCCAACCTTTTGTGCAAAGTAGATTGTTTTGGAGACTTTTCTAGTTGCTAAGCAATAGTAACCAAGGGAGATCCAGGGCTCTGCTGCCTGCTCTGTGATCTTCAGTAACTGCTGGGACAATCTGTCAACAAAGAAATAAAACAATCCCTGTACTGGTTTACACAGATGTCTGAGAATATTATTACAAAATCTATCAAGTTTGATAATTATACTGTAGAAGTACATTTTTCCACGGGGTCATATTTCTGCGGAAACTCAATTTCTGTTTCATCAGCGGGTAGAATATAATGCAGATTTTCATTTATATTAATTACGCTTGGACAAATTTCCACAGAAAATGTGTGACCATGTACATAGCGTAAATTAACACCACACGGAAAAAAGTTCTTCTGCAGTATGTAAAAGTTGTTTAAAAATATGTGAGATTTTTAACTGTAATGATATACATACATATAGTATATGACTGACAGTGTGTATTTAAAATTCTAAGATGAACTAGCTAACCCTCCCAAATTTTAGTACAGTTTCCATTTAAAAATCAAACATTTACATGTACCATATTGTAATTAGAACTTCCTGCCAAGGAGTTCTCCTAGCGAATTACCGTAAAATCACATATTTTTCGTGGGGTCAAAGAAGAAGGTATGGTTTCCATACAAATTTTGCCCTGTGATTTTCTAAAAAAATGGAGCTGGTGTAAAAGTTGAAATCTCATGCTTTTTAAATAATTGAAATTCAATGCAGAAAAATCATACAAGTAATTTTTCTCACATGTGTTTTTAAATGTTTATTATGACGTCATAAACATGTGCATTTTCCCGTATTTTTTTAAAAAGTTGCAGAAGACACCAATTTTCAATGGAATTTTCTTTCAGATAACATTGTCCACAGGCATCGCCCACAAAGATCTTGAGATATGTGAATTGTTATTGAATTTTGCACAAAATATCAAAAAATGAACGTGGGCGACGGCTGTGGACACTGTTTTCTAAAGGAAAATCACCCTTGAAATGTGCCATTTTGAGGCTTTTTCTGTTGAAAATAGAGAAATGCTTCACATTAATGACGTCATATTTGCAGAATGGTAAACATTCATGCCATATTCTTTCCTGATTTATCAGAGTCAATTATTTAACTAATATTTATACCAGTTTCAAAACTTTTTGATGTCATTACATTTTTAGGGCGCAATAAAGCTTAAAACCATACCTTCTTCTTTTCAAAGTTTGAGGTAATAATCTTGTATGAGGGGACTTAATTTCATGGATGGAGAAAGTTTTAGTAGTAATGTACATTAAATTTTACATTTTGTGGTGGTCATGAATTCGTGGGTCTCTTCTTAATTGCCTCGAAAACAATGATAATTAAACCCCCACAAAAATTAGTAATTTCACGTATGTAACTGTTAAAGTACACACTAAGTTAAACTTAGTGATATAGCATTATACCTGTGAATTTATTCCACTCTCTTTAAAATCATTACATCCAAACATCCAAACAAAATTAATGTAATACATGTATATGGCAAATGCACAGTATAGATGTTTTCCTCCAAATATGAATTCAAAATAAGCTCAGAGAAACTAACTACCTGGTACAAACCTAACTAAATGGATTACTGAAGTTCTGAAATGAATCTGATTTCAAATATAAAATAAAAATCTTGCAAATGAAAAATAATGACAGTTCAATATTATAAAGTTTTGAGATCTTTAAAAACTCAATGTAAAGGATGTAAATTTCAATTTTTTAAAAACCTCTACAGGACACAAAATCAGTTTGCTACATCTGTAAACTAATTATCAGTAAAATTTGTTTTAGAATTTCATCAGAGATCCAAATACCCATGATACTGAAATGCAAAACACATGAAGCTCCATTCTTTGTTTAGTCTTTCATGAAATTTTCTCTATCTCATCTTTTATTAGCAGGGCCTTAGTGATCTTAATTTATGATTAACACAGAAAAACAGGCTGTAGGAATACTAGATGCATCTCCAGCTTTAGAAATTTTGTAAATGCAGCTAGATGAATCTTATGGAGATAACAAACAATATTCAATATCAAAGTCCACTAAACAATACAAAATAGGAGCAGAGCAAACACGGACTCCCAAAACATCAGAGGTGGGATCAGGTATCATGGAGGAGAGAGCATCCCTGCCGACCAGTCACACTGGTAGATGTCAGATTAGGTACAAAATGTTGCCAGTAAGGAGCAAAAGAGCAAGTTAGTAGTTATCAGAGTACATCTCATTACTTACAAGTAACTCCAAAAAAGAAGGATGATTGAAGTCAACAATCATCTGGGACAACCTTGACATTAATAATAACTGGTAGTTGCATGTCATTTTAAACATTCTTTTTATACTGTCTATGAATAGAATGAAGTTTCGATTTCATGAACAATATGAATGATTTTACGGTCAACGATTTAAAATAGACAGATGGGGATTTAAAAAAAGAAACCAAATATTGGGTTTTCCATTGCTAAAATTAGCACCATTCAGTTTTTGAAGACACAATGAAAGTAAAATGGTATGTAAGTTTGTAATTAATTCAACAGAACAGATGTAACTCATTAGCCTACAAATCTTTCTGTGACCAAATTGACTGTAGTTATTTTTACATTTTATTTTCAGTGGGAAAGAAATGTGGATGGAACTACTGTCAGAATCTGTGTTCATGGAATTATGTTGGACAATGGGGACCTCACAACAAGTGGCTCTAAGGAGAGATTCAGGGGAAGTAATACAGGTGTGGATAGATGTTGCTTGCAAAAGAAAAAAAATATCCACTTGTGGAAGTTCCAAAGAAGGATTCAGCTTTCAGGGATCTGATGTAGACTTGATGATCTGGCAAAATCATCACCGTGTGATCTGGGAATTATCCCAGTCTCAGTATTACAACATACACAGAAAAATACTGATTCTCTGTGACTCTTCTGAAAGTCCACCAGGATACACTTTACTTCAGTTACTTGAATTAGGAAGAAGTAAAATTACTCTAAACAAGTTTTCATGTTTTTCAATGAAAGGTGGAATATATATATCTAGTTCTGGTAAGAGTACACTTGGTGAAGAAAATATACACGGGCCATGTCTCAGGTTCACTGCAGGAGAAAAAGAATGTGATCTTGTCTACAGTTTTGTCTCAGACTTTTGGCCTCCATCTGCTTCATCATGGATAGACAGATGTCACTCATGGCCCCAGCCTCATGTTGTTGATGATATAGTAAAAAATGGATGTCACTTTGTACCAATAGGACATAAGCTAGGAAGATATGAAAACCATGAATGGAGGATTTCTTTCTCTCTAGCAGAACAAAAACTAGTGTACTCAATGAATCATTGTCAATTCTTAACCTATGGTTTGCTTAAACTACTCCTAAAAGATGTCATTAACAAAGGATTAAGTGAAGAAGATAAATTACTTTCGTCCTATAACATGAAGACAGCAGTTTTCTGGGTGGCACAACAAAACACAATACTTGACTGGTGTCCACAAAATCTTTTGGAGTGTTTCTGGGTCTGTTTCAAACTCATCCTTAAGTGGGTGTATGAGGGGGTCTGTCCTAATTTTTTCATTCCCCAAAATAACATGTTTCTGAGTAAGATTCATGGTGAAGCACAACACAGTTTATTTCAAAGACTGTACAGAATGTATGAAAAAGGTTTGGGATTCCTGTTGAGTGGTCTCTCTATCAAGTCATATCTTAAAAATGTCCATATTCCCGCAACCTCATTTTTCATAGATGAACAAAATCTAATCCCTGAGATGGAGTTGGATAAAGAATTGTTCAGTTGTAGTGCAGAGCATCTGGCAGTGCTAGACTTCCACAAATTAGACCTGAACCTCTGCATCATATACCTACAGTCCATCAAAAAAATGATAAGGCCCCAATTCACACAATGTAAAATTGTTCTTTTACAAAAATTAACATCATTTTTTTTCCAAAGCACTGCATTTTTATCACACAATGTGTTCTTTAATTCAAGAGTAAACAAAATGGCATATCCAACTGCTAAAATTTCCTGTCATTTGTTAAAATTAGCAGCTAGGTTTGGATGTATTTCTGACATGCTATACATAGCCCTGTATTATTACCGAACTTGTCAATTCAAAAATGCTCTTCTTGTTATACAAATTACAAAGGATAAGTTATCACAGTTATTTGTGTTGTATAGGGATTTTATAGACAGAGATGAATATATGGATGCTGTAGGGGGGCAGTCCTGGCCCACAAAGATGAGATCGGCTGTAGCAATGGATATCCTACTTGTTAATAAAATCCATTATATCAGTGAATTAATACCAGAACAGCAATATGGGATAAAGAAAATCATAATCAAAAAGTATATATTAACTGTACCACCCTTCGTACTGTTATACATGCTAGAGATCTTGTGCTACCGATACACTGACACAATGAGAGTACAAACAGTTCTTAATGACTTACAGAACCTAGTTCATGATGATAAGGGATTTTATGTACCTTTACATCTCAGAGACATATCGTGGCAGATTCTGGGCATCTGTCAACAAGTGACAGGGAACCTCCAGGCTGCTCTACACTCATACCAACAATCTCTCAGACAAGAACAATACAATGAAATACAAATGGCTACAATTATGAGAATTGCATCAATAATATACAGAATCTTGAAAGTTTAGAATTTCTACATTGCAAAAAATGAGACGTCATTTGAACAGACTGAGTGAAAGCAAAAAGGACTACAAGCTATAGGTTTCTCTCTATCTCAAAGTCATTGATTACCTTGATATTTAGAATATTTGGTGTTATTCTTGTTTTTTTGTAAGCTGTGTACTGCAATTACATGAATACAAATAAAAAAATAACACGACATTGAGTATTTTTGTGCTCATTTAAATTTCTCAACAGCTTCACCTAATGTTCATAATGATAACAGAATATGTAGTACATATACTACTTGGCTTATGATTTGAAATTTACTTTATTATGTGCAAGATTTCATGAAAAATTAGAGGCGTTACATGCATGTACATAAATTTCCTAATCTGAAACATTACTGTAAACCAACTTTTATTGGCATGTGAGAAACATTCGCGAGTTTTGCAATTTACTCTAACTCACGGATATTAATCACTACAAACCATTTCTTTTGCTATGTACATGTAGGAAATGTTTCCTCAGTCGCAAAAATTTATTGTCGCTGATTGGTATCAACTGACAAATCGAATAAAAGATGAGGCAAATAATAGTTGGTTCTCAGTAACTTTATAAAGATCTTTGAAGGATGTCCATTGTAACTTCTGTCTGACATTTTCCTTTGATTACATTTCATGTTCATGTACTCATCAATTAAAGATAGTTAAGATGCAAAAAAAGTTGAGCTATTAGCCAATTTCACATTCTTAAGGTCTTATTTCTGTGGTTGGCACAACCCTTATTTTTCTCTCAACATTAGGTATATTCTAGCGTATTGTATTTTCGACCTATTTAGATGTTATTTTTTAATTTATTGCAAACTGTATAGAATCTGAGAAAACATGGGCTTAAAATGTTAGCATATGTGTCTATAAATAAAATGATATAACCCAAATTGCAGTTTTGTGTTTATTTCATTTATATGCCATAATTATGGAGAGGGGCAGTTTTCCTTATAAAAATATTAGCGTCTTGTGTTTTCGACCTAAATATAGTATTAACGCCCAATCAGTATTGGCTATAAATATCAATTGGATATTCCAAACAATAAAAAAAGGATTGTTTGTCTTTCAAAAAAAAAAAACACTGAACAAGTTGCATATTTCGGTTGCAAATACATTTATTCGTTGGTTGAACCCATCTGTCAGGAGCTGTGCATTTCCAAAAAATTCAATGAAATTACATTGCATTTCTCAGTAAAAATCTGTAAGAAAGTGCCCATATCTAAGGGAGAAAAAAATTTGTTTGATCCACCCATTCATTTCAATATTCATGCGTCTCTTTGACAGAGATCTTAATTTTCTTTCGGAAAAATGTCATCAAAAATTTTTTGTAATTAACCGATTACGGCTTTAATCAATCAACAGATAAAATGTGCATTAGTAAAAAGACTAAATTTCAGACATCGGAATAAAACCATGGAGGGAATTCCATTGAATTAATTATTTTGACTATTTTCACTACAGTTTTGCTTGAAAGGTATTTTTCAAAGTGTAGCAACCGAAAAAAATGTTCTACCATTCGGTATCTGCAGAGGAAGCAGATAGAGAAAAATGGGTCGAAAATACAATACGGTCGAAAATAGGATACAAGACGATACATTTATTGACTGAGTTTGAGGGCAACATGCATTTTGTCGGACCCAAGAACCAAACTGTCTGTCAGAGGCCGTTAGGCAAATGCATGTAGGAATGGATTAGCGTAGATAAAATTTAAGCCAAAAAAATTAATTTATAGTTTCTCAGGCCAAAAAATTCAAAATTCAATGCGGCAGGCTGTTTTTTTTTTGTTTTTTTTAAAGCAGATTTTATACTTTTTTAAAGCCATTTGTTCAATACTAAGTCTTAATTTTTGTTCTCTGAAATTAGTTATGATATGTATTCTACTTTAATAATGTTATTCTAAACATTTATTCAAAAGTTAATTCATTAAATATTGTAAATTTACAAGAAATATATTGTTTTTTTAAATTAAGGACATATGCAAGGTACCTTACTTAATGATAATTTTTAAGATATTTTTAATTTAAGTTTATAGTGCCATCATATGTTTGTAGACAAAAAATCAGCATGCATTACCAGGCGTTTTTGGGAGATATAAAATTATGAAATTTTCTGCCTTATTCAAAGAAAAATATACAAAAATTATTAAGCATAAATTCCAGATTTTTTCCATCAAAATTTGTTTTGTTAGTTCAACTCCAGGGAAAAACCAAATAAAGTTCAAACTACATTGCATATAACCTTCATGAAAAGAGGAATAGCTCAATTTTCTCAAACTTCGAAAAATAGAAAATTGAGTTATTCCCCTTTTCAATATGTCGACAAAATTGATCAATGCGGCTGTTTTTGAACAGATGCGGTGGTGCCTGAGAAACTGTTGATTAATTTTTTTTGGCCTTAGCATTTGGGTTTGTCATTAAAATATATATAAATGTAATATTTTTTTTCCATTGATCCACACCTGTATTTGATTTTGAGGTCACTCAAGCATGCAAATACAAAAGTGTTGATTTCATTCATTCTCCTTTCGGTAGTGTTGCAAGCAAATAGACATGACATAATGTCGATTTTAAACTTTTTTATAAAAGAAAACATGATTGTACTTCAGTATTTATTTGTGGGGTGTCACTTTGTTATTCTTATTAAAAGTGTGTATGCATCAAAGGAAGGTTACTTAGGTAATTGGTAGTCATACATGTAATCAGGTACATGTATTTTTTGTAAGGAGCCCAACTTTGAAAGTGCTAATGATAAGTACCGGGTAACTAACAATAGTTTAATAAATCTATAATTTCGCAGAGTACTTTCTCAATCGATCTTACAGTTTACCAGTGCTAGAACAGCGACTCTAAGACATACATGTAACATGAGTAGTAATCGTGCGTTCTGATAAAAAAATTTCAATATTTAAAAATCCGTTAGCGTTAAGGAGCACTTGGGCCAAAGGATTTGAACATATTTGAGAAAAATCTACACCACCAGAGGAAACTTTCACATTAATTTGACCAATCATGGCTTTGCTGTTCTTAAGAAGAAGTTTTTTCCCCCTGTATATTCCTATGTTAAACTTTGATCATTCATTGTGGCCCCAACCAACCCCCAAAGGTCATGTTTTGATCAAACTTGAATCTACACCACTTGAAGATGCTTCCATATAAATATGACCAACCACGGTTTTGATGTTCTTGAGAAGAACATCACAATATTCATTTATTGAAAGACTTTTCTTATATATATTGCCATGTAAAATTTTGATCAGCCATTGTAGCCCAGCCCTACCCCAAGGGGTCATGATTTGAACAATTTGAATCGACACTACTTGCAGATGCTTCCACATGAGTTTCATCTTTCCTAGCCCAGTGGTTCTTGAGAAGAATATTTTTAAAAGATGATAATTTTTTGATTATCCATAATTATCTCTCCTTAGAAGATTGTGTAGCCCTTCATTTGAACAAACTTGAATCCACTTCACCCACGGATACAGTTTGGTTGAAACTGGCCCGTGGTTCTTGAAAAGAAGATGAAAAGTTAATGACAACAACAATACCAACGATGAAGACAGACAACTGACAAATTTTAAGCAGAAAAGCTTACTTTAGTCTAAGCTCAGGTGAGCTTAAAACTGTATGTACTTACTTCAGAAGATCTTTGACTTTTCTGTCCTTAGCCAGGAGATAGGAATACAGATCCATGTTCTTCATATGCATGGGATCCAGAGCATGAATCTAGAATCAACATAGTCAAATCATTACTACTAGTGTGTCAATTAAGGTATTCTTATTATATACGCAATAATCATAATTATGTACAATTACAATTGTATAAAAATTTGATCCTTTAACAGTTAACCAGACAAGCTTATGAAAACAAATCATTGGCTATGGTGAAAACATTGACAAAACCTTTGAGTGCTACAATAACCTACTCTCTGGAATAGTGACAGAGCCTGGGTGTACTGTCCATCGTAGAACTTGGCCTCCGCGAGACTGTCCAGGACCTGCGTGTTGTCATGGAGATAAGACTGGTTGTCCAGCGAGGAGAGAGTGCCTATAGCTGACATATAGTCTCGCTGGGATGACTGGGCCTGACCTTTAATCCACAACGACAACCTTAACAGTCGAGATTGCAATAACATTAACAACACTTTAATTAACAACAACTTAAAAAGACAGCAGAGAATGCAAAATAAAAGTCAGTAACAACATGTGGCTCAAACGGTAACAAAACACCTAAACCCTGCTGTTGAGAAGTATTTATGTGGGATTAAATTTTGTTGTATATAATTGTCAACATTAATAAATCCCACATGAAATTTTTAAATGACTATGAATTGCATTGATTAAATTTACAAACAATGAAATTTTATGTCCATGAAACCTTTTTGGATAAATAATAAACGAAATTTTATGCCCATGAAAATTTGTGTTTCTACGGTATTCTCAAGAAAGCAGGGATACAATCATAACAATATGTGCCATTTTATTACATGAGATAGAACTTATGTTGGGCACAGTTATTTTATTCTTTTTATTAGTTGAATTCTGTTATACTGACCAGTCTGAGCTGTTGTGAGCTCCATTCATCACCAGGGCGGCCACATCTGGTCCCTTCACCCCCAGGGACATCAGTCCAGTCATGGCCTCCAGGGCTAAAGGACACTCCCTGTCAGTGAAATAATAAATAATTTGATAGTAATATCATATTGGAAAACACACTTTATAAAACTGTCACTGTTTTCAATTACTAGGAGCATACTCCTGGCCAACCTATCAGGGATTTCCAATGTTGTATAGAAGTTACAGTGGGTAACTAGTAACACACCTGAGAACTTCTTTGGAGCTGTAATGGCTATTTTAAAGTATATACTTTGGATCCCTCTGTAGTTAATGTTTCTATAACATGCCTGAGATATGGAGCATGTTGAAGAATTCCCTTATTAGTCAAATATCTCAGAATTTTTAGTAGCTCATACCAAGGTTTTCTGTTATAAGTAACACTTTTCTGTACCCCCTTTATAGTTACTGAGTTCTATTAATAGTAACAGACCTGAGAACCTCTTTGTAGCTGGTGATAGCTGACCGGTCCATACCCACTCTAATGTAGAGTTTAGCCAGGGCTAGGTTGATTTTAGGGGTTCTTTGTTTCGAACTTATTCCTTGTAACTGAAATAAGACAGTGAAAGGTAACGTAAGAAACAAGTTTAATACCTACACTGAAATATTTCAATCATTTCCTTTCCTAACTTAAATCCTACTTCATCAAATAATGTTTCTCAAGCACATTGGCTAAAAGTATTCGTACCAGGAAAAGTTTACATCCCATTGTATAAAAGTCAAAATTAAGTAAACATTGGTAAAGAGTGGACAGATAGCAAGTTTAAATGGAATGCCATATTACCAAATGTAAAAAGGTTTTATTTTAGATATTGTAATGAATTATTTAATTTCATGATAAATCTCAGTCTAGAAATGGTCTGAGCAATTGTTCTGTAAATACACATCAAATTTCACCAAATAATTTCATGTTGTTTTCCTAACATATTTAACTTTTGAGGGTCTTACTTTTGGATTCTTACATGTTCAGAGGTTACAACTTGTGCAGTGTTCTGACCCTGACTGGGTGCAGATTTTCTCAAAACCCTAATCTGAATCATTGATAAGATTTCCTTGAATGCCTGTAATAATTTCTCCTTACCATGACCATGGCTTCTCTACACTGTTTTGTGGCCATTAGACATTGGTAAACTTTGTATTTCACCTCTACTTCATCTGTCAACTCCTAAAATCAAAACACAAACTCTTCATGATCTACCTGATAGAAACTCTTCAGTGCATTAAATTGGTTTCTTTAAAGTCTTTTACAATTATCATTTTACCCTTAATATAATATGCCAATAAAATAACTGTGAAAAATATTGCTTGATTAGTGATTTGAGCAGCTTTTTGTTTAATAAAAATGACAAGTGTGTGTTAGGGATGGGTATCGCCAAAAATTTCATATCGCGATATATCACGATTTTTTCCCCACAATATCACGATAATCTTATGATAATATCATGATATCTTTATAAGCAGTTTTTACAATGATTTTGAATAAAAAGTCATAATTTTTCTAAAAAATATCCTAGAAAAACAAAATTTGACTTTTTCAAACTTTATATATATATATATATATATATATATATATATATATATATATATATATATATATATATACATACTTGCCAACTCACCCGATTTCGTCGGGTCACACCCGATTTTTCAACCCGTAACCCGATTATTTTTTATGACCCGGCGGGTCATGCTTATCACCCGATTTTTGTCGATCAACCCGAAAATCTCCCGATTTTCTGGATTTGGTTCGTAAATTAGGTTGCACTTTTAACTTCCAGTTACAACCCAAGCTTAGATCTACGTAAACAATACCGATGGATTAATTATCAGTGCAGGTGTTAACAATTAACTGGGTGTTGTTTTGACAAATCAATGTTTGAAGTCAATTAAAATGGCTTCCGATAGAACTAAATCGTTATCAGGGCCAACAGGAAAAAATTGAACTAAACACATGTCTCTGATTGAACCAAAAAAAAAAGAGAAACGATATTTATGTACATATCAAGGAATCTTGGAAATAAACTTTCATTCTAGATAAAATAAAGTGATCAATAACAGTGTAGGCTTAACTTCACATTTAAAACATATTACAGTAATTAATTAAGAGAGAGGAAAAATAACTTCAAAACTGAAATTGGTATACTTTCAAATTTAGCAGAAACTGAAAAGGCTTTAAAAAAAATGCACACTTACTTCAGGTCAATAGTAATACATGACACCTTCAATTTTTATTTTTTTTTAACATGTAAATTTAAATCAAAATATGTATGAATTTTTTGTCAAAGTAAATTAAATCCTTTTTCAATAAAAGAATTCTCAATACACAAATACTTTGTACATATATGTATAAAATTTAATCATGGTAAATATGTCGTGAATGTCGTTACGCGTTATGACCAGATTTTTTACTTTCCAAATCTGGTCATGACCAGATTTTTACATGCTGGAGGTTGGCAAGTATGTATATATATATATATATATATATATATATATATAATCAGTTATGTTTGGGCGGTAAGATGCCATTCTTTTCACTTTTTACAACATTTTTTATACTCTCTGTAATTGTAATTTGAGCCGTTCCAAGCAAAAACCCCCCTTATGTCAAAAATTTTCGAAAATGACTTTTTTCTTGAAAAATGATGTAGAACCCTAGGTGAACATAACCTGTAAATATTACAGGTGTATCTTGCTCCTTTACGGATTTACAGGTATTCAAAGTATGCATAATGTATACGGCTGACGTCATATTTTATTAATTTTTTCTTGTATTGACGTCGACGTTATAGCGACGTTACATAATAAAAACATGAATTACATATACGCAATAGATCTAACTTGGTATTGTATTGCCGTTCTGACTAATATAAATATGCTTAATTTTTTGTAAACATTTATTCGTCCTATGATTCGCTGACTTCGAGAAAACATCACAAATAATTGATAGGTCTGTTATAAAGAAAAATTCACTTTCAATTTTACCGCTGAAGTTCAGCACAAATCTCTGAAAACTATAGCAACAACAAAAAATATTTTAGTTTCCATTAATTTAGTTTTGATAATTGATTTTACTTAATATCTAACCTTTGCTTTTAAAACACTTACCAAGAGACAGCATTAAGGGGCAGGAGCTTGTGCTTTATTTATGAACACGACATAAGGATTTTGTAAAGTATGGTATATCAATGTAAATGATGAGTACCATTTATCCTTTTTTTGTAAATATGCAACTACTTATGTAATATTCTTTGCTTAATTATGTCCTCATTTTTGTTTTAAATATTAGAAGGAAAAGGGGGACAATGAGAGAATAAATATATAAGTACTAGTATAAAGGCAATTTAGACTCGATATATGCATGTTAAATCTGTAATTTATAAATAGTTAAAGTGTACTTTTCAGATTTCAAATTTTGTAATAACTAACAAAAACATGTCTTGACCTGAAAAACTGAAAAAATGGGTAAGGCATGTGATTCAGCTTTTTTAAATGTATATTTTCTACAGTACAATCACGTACATGTAATTGATATATAGAAGATTGTCCAGCATACAGCCCCATCTATATATAACAACAAAATTATGAGAGTCGATTATGAGAGTCGATCCGAAGTTAGAGTTATACTTTCTCAATATTTAAGTCAGTTATGCGATCCGATCTGAAGTTAAAAAAATACATGTCACAGTTTAAAAAAACGGATTTGTTATGAGGAAAGTTTCATCAACACTTATATATCATGAAGGTCCTCTAAAAATATACCAGTTAGTCAAAAGCAAAAAAAAAAATATTTTAGAGACAAAAAAAAAAAAAACGTGGAAGTCAGGGGCCTGTTCAGAGCAGCTTTTAAAGTCCTCGATCCATACAGACATAAATGTACAACATTTGATTACCGTCTTCCTAGAAAAAAAACATATATAAAGAAATGTTATAGAAAAGAGAACGTTTTACGTGCGAAATCTGCACACTGGACCGTCTTTCGAATAAAATGCTTCTCATATATTAGTAAAATATATTCTATCACAGTCTACTTTACATTTTACACACATACAAAGACGTTCCATTGCGTGCACAAGGGGGGGGGGGGGGGAGGGAATGCTGGCCATTCTCTGTCACTTCATTAACATCAAATATTCGAACATCTGACCATCCTTACCAACTTACAAGGAGTCCACGTGTTCTGAAAGTGGGGGAGGAGTTTAGTAGGTTACTTTTGTGTTAGTCTTTTGGTTTACCTTACATGGAGACCGGTCCTTCTGATGATTCTATATAAGCCGCGGTCCCGCAGTAAGTGCTGGCACAAAAAAGATCACTCACTGCTCAAAGGCCCTAACCCCCCGTTCACACATATACGCCGCTTCTACTACGATCAAAGCGTGGCTAAAAGCGCAACCGATCGTGACAAATCGCAGGAGAAACGTCGAGGGGTCATCATAAGCGTAGTATGATCGCAGTTGTGTCTTCATGATCGGAGAGCTCTACGCTCTCACCACGCTTATTTTGAACATGTTCAAAACAAGCGTAGCGGGATCGTGGCCAACAAGAATCGGGGTTGAGTCGTAATAAGAGCGTAGTAGCAGCGCCGTAATCGTGCAAGCAGCGCGGAAGCATCGTAGAGAGATCTTCATGATCGTAGTAAAAGCGCCGTAAGAGCGTAGGATCTAACCAAGCACGCTCATACAACGCTCCCTCTACATTCGTACTACGTTCTCACTACGATCTCTCTACGTTCCTGAAGATCCTACAAAGACCTACAAATGACCTTACGCCGATTATATCACGACCTATCATACAAGAGTTTGTTCTTATTGTTTGTTCTTATACGCATTAAGCGTAATGCAATCGTTATATGATCGGCACCACCGTAGCGACATCGCGGTACAGTCATCTAGGTCTGTGTAGCGTCGTAGTATGGTCGTCAATGTCGTAGTGGAAGCGTAGCATAAACGCAGTGAACACGGCTGCTTGTCGGCTTTGGTCTGCGTAACATCGTAGTAGAAGCGTGTTAGCAACGCGTTTGACGTAGGGACATCGTAGTACGGTCGTAACGAAGACCATAATTTGCCAAATTGCTCTATTTAGACGCCGATCGGCTGCGATCTGCCCCGATCCAAAAACTTTTCAGATCGTGCCTTGATCGGGATGATCGCCGTAGAGTCGCAGCTCTGTGTGAACGGGGGGTAAGTGCTGTTTATAGAACAATATTTGCAGCTCTCCACCAGCAAGTTGTGGCATCTCCATATGAGTTAAAAAATTCTCGAGATGGACGTTTAAAAACAAACAATCAATCTATTTAAATTTAAACATTGAGAAAGGGTCATCACCTTAAGTTTCACTGCCAAGGATAAAAGAGGACAAGTTATCTAGAAAACTTTTTTTATACAAGATATTTCCGAAGTTATCTAGAAACCTTTTTTGTGCAAGATATATCCGACTTTTGTGTTTATCTGTAGCAGACAGTATATAGGGGACTTATAGTAGCTTTTCCAGTGATGCGGTAGAGTCTTTCTCTATTTCAGGCAAGTTAAGCAACGGCGAGCATGTTTAACCCATGGATGGGTGACCAAAAACATGGAAAGTCATTGATATTAATGAGATATAGGCCTATACCATTGCAATGCCTAATGACATGCAAAAATTGAGGTGATTTTCAGACATTTTTGGTGTCAACATAATTCATTTAATGATGTTTGTATATAATTTAAACTAGAATTCTGTATGATTACAAACATTGTTTAAGGATAATAATTTGAACAGCAAATTAAAAATTGCATTTTTATTCAACGATTCCCATCATTTTATTGTCTCCTGATGGAATCTCAATATATGTGACGCGCCAAGCAAAAACCTCCCTTATGTCTATTATGACGTAACGTCAAAAGACGCGTCTAAAGTCCACAAGGTAAATGCGACGTAAAAAACGTCTCCTTGATTGATGTAGTTTATTCATTAAAAACTTAGTCTCCGTCAAGTGTCTGTGTGATCTTTCCTTTTCACAATTAAGTGTGCATGTATTTTTTAAAAGCCAGTGGTGGCTGAAAAATTCCCGTAAGGCCGTTTTTAAAATGAAGTTTGTTTGCCCTCTACCTTTTCGGGTTAAAACATTGCATCGGTAGGTAGGTCGAATTTTTTTTGTCGGAAATTTTCAGTGTTGAAAAAGATTGAAGG